AAAGCTACAAGTCCGTGTTTTATTGACAGCTTCGTGATCTGTCATTTCAGACTTCAAAGGAATCGCGCGCCGTTGTCAAAGGTGATCGCTGACAAATGAATAAAACGTTCGAAATTCTGTAATCTTGGAAACGAGAATTGCTTCTGCGTACTTTTCGGCTCGGTTCTCGACAGATACGGTGATCCAATTGATCGCAACATTCAGTTACTCGGCAATATATCTATTTTTATCTATTACGTCACCCTCCAACCGGGGGTTAGTTTTTGATTTCTCGGTATGAAATCGCGAACTATTTTTAAACATCACAGACTATTAGCGACTATTCTGTGTTTGAAACATTATTAGATTTATTAACTACGGTTTAGCATTTAAATGAGATTTACGAGGTATACGTTAATGAATTGAATTATTGCCAGTAAGTGTTCATTGTTATTAAGAACTTTCTTTAAGTCTGCTGGAATATGGAACTTTTTTCTTCCATTTCTTAATATTGGGCAGTCTTGAAGAATATGCTGGACAGTTTATTATATTTTTTATTGTATTTATTATTATATTTATTAATATTATAATATATATAATAAATATATTTTATCATTATATATTAAAACAGATGCGTCCTAAAAATTATATTCCAAAAGTATATGAAAATACTTTAATTTAAGTTTCTAAAGGTTTGTTAAATTTTGGAAAATATTTAGGACGCGGAATCCATGTTGCTCGCGGTTCAGGGTTATCTCCTCTTAATTTTGTGCTAAAACTCACCATGTGAATTTCTACTTGGGAAAATCCCGACGAATAGTTCTCAATTAATTTCCTAGCCCTTGGTTCAGAGGACCACAAAATTTTCTCTCGAATGTAACTAAAACTTCTGCAAATGGGGAGGTGGGGGTGTGGTTCCTTGGCTGGCACGCGAAGCTACGGTCTCCCCTGGCCCGGATTATTATCCGGTGGTTAACAATACGAAATTATAATGAACGCGAAAAAAATGCACTTTTCCTTCCATTGTCGATCCGGTGTAACCGCAGACGGCAGACCGCGGCCGTAACGGCGGAACATTCTGTATTGTTCCGCCGGCAACTGGAACGCACAACAGGTCCTCGTTGCCGATGTAAATTTTTGAAGCGGCTCTGCCCACGTGCATCGTGCATCGGCCAGTTTAATTAGAAGCAGGCGGAGCTATTATTCCCTGTGCTCGCGTCGCCGCGGCCGTGTAGCGTTAAACGTTTTCGCCGCGAAGCGTTCAAGCCCATTCAATCATTCATTTCCTTTTCTGATCCGCGACAATGTGGCCGTGCGCGCAGCAAACCCGATCTCTCTCTCTCGTTCTCTCTCTAGTTGTTTGTCTGTTCGTATCGCGAGAAATTGCGGCAGGCCGTAGCACGGTGTTCGAAAACAGCGATTTATACGCGAAAAGCTATATTTAACCCCGAACGTGGATAAATATCTGTAAACAAACATTTCAACGATATTGATATTAATTGGACACAATGATTTTAGTATTACTTTATCTTAAATGAAGATTCAATTATTCAATGAATGAAAACAACAGAAATATGTTTCTGATAAATGTTTCAATATTACATAACATTTTTATATAATTACATGGTGTATACAAATATCGAAAAATATAATAGGACATATAATGAAAATGATAAAGAAAAAGAATCAAAGAACTCTGATCTGATAACTTCTATTCCAAAAACTTACGATAACTGCATACTGAAATTGGTTCTCTTTGATGAAGTGCATTTAAAATTTCTGTTGTAAAATGAAAAGGTACTTAAAAGCACTTTATTCAGAATTACAAATTCTACTTCAGAACATTCGCGCGCGTATCCAGTAAAATAAATGATGCTGATATATTACAAAACTACAGAGATACCGAAAATATGGTGTTGGTGGAATCCCGAGGTGGCAACCTCACGGTTCGGTTTCTACATCTGAACTGACTGTCGTTCGATGGGTCATCGTTGAAATTCCAACAATTTCTGTAAATTTGTATAAATCACCTTTTGTTCTACAAAAGTCATTAACTACAAAAACAATTAATGTCATCATTTCTTATAAGGAGACATTTAAACTGCGAGAGAATATCCTAAGCGTGAAAGAAACTTCGAACTTCTGAGTAAAAATTGTCCTGTTTAAACAATTTCCACAGACAAATCGTAGTTCAAATAAATAGCCTGGAGGTTTCGCGAACCTAATTACATCAGATATTAAAGGAACGGAGATTGCTAAAAACACGGGTCTCTCGCGTCTGAATCGTTGTTTTCGGACACTGTGCGACGTTGCGAATTTCGACGTGAAAGCGGAGCAACATTGAGAACAGAAAGAATGCAAATGCGCGGATTGCAAAGAGTCTACAGCACCGCCGGCAACAGCTCGGAAATAGTTTTCCGCTTTCAACCGGCAGTTAGAAACACGTAAACCGAATTGCAACTGGTCGTGAAAACGATCGGAGCTCCTGCCTGTCGCCAAAATATTTTTCAATGCGCTCTGTCCGCCTGTGTTCGGGCTTTCGTCGTCTCCTTTAACTCGCGGATCGATTAACGTCGACTGCCATGCCAGAATCCTCGGGAATTTTGTCAAATCATAGTAGCATAGTCAATGAAATGAACACTTTATTTACCAAGGGCCCATCGATAGACTTTTCGATGACTGTGTTCGATCAAATTCGCTTCCAAAGAACTTGTTATAACAATCTGAATAATTTGATGGGTTATGGTTAAGGTTGACATTTTTTTACGAATTTGTTAACTGTTGTTCTTCGGTTCGGAAAGAACTGTTAAAAAACTACCGGTAGACAAAGTGTTAAAATTGAAAGCTTGAATTGTTCGATATCAATTATTTCCTCGACATCCTTACGTTTACTTTCTAATCGAAGCAGCTTGTTCCTCCATATATGAATTTGTTAAACACAAAACATGGTTTTATTATTATTATTATCATTATTATAAGTTTATTTATTTCAGCGTAGACCCATTAATTGTGAGGTCATTATTGTTACATTTAACTATATAGACTTGTATTCCCGATCGCAATTAAAATTTATATTGACACGAGCAATTATAACAGTGAACTACATATAACGAGTCATATTTGTTTCATTGAGATGAAGTGAATAGTCACGATACGGAAAACCGCGCATAGAACAAAGTACACATTTGGAAGCGTTCCGCAAATCTGCAAAAATACAACAAGCAGTTTGTTTATCCTAGGTGCATCAGCGTTCGTGACGCTGTTAAAATTTCCAATGGAATATAAAATATTTTTTTGCATCTCGCGTGTTGGCTACTCTTTTCCAACGAGAGTCGCACTGCGTCGTTCTATATAAATATTTACAAAATCATCGTCGAGAGAAAGGCGTTCGCCGAAAGAAAAGCATTGTGGCGTCGCATCGCTCGCCACTGCTCACCCGCTACTTGAGCGCGGCCGCTAGCAAATTCAAACATCTGCCTTCCTAATCCTCTCTGCTAAACTTTTCCTTTACAACAGCCCTAATCCTCAAAAAACTCCCTTAAAAACACTCCCAATAAAACGATTATCCGAACCTTCCCACATCTCGACTCGCACAGACCTTTCCTGTCTTCCCCCTCCAAGAGAATTTCATCTTTTCCCTTTGTATGACTGTCCTCACCATCGCTATAAAAAAGGCAAAAGGCAACTCCACCAGTTCAATTAGTTCAGTCACTCAAGGCGAGTCAGACACCTCCGGTCAGTCCCAAAAGCTCTGCACATCTCCACACTCCGCTAGCCGCGCCCTCGCACGCTCACATACGAGAATAAATACTATAGATGAAAGACAAAACATCCTGATTCATTTCCACTCCCTGCTAAAGCATCGTTCCAAGCAGATGTGGCGGCTGCTTACGTCGCTCGCCAGCAGATCGCTACCTTTCCCGCAACTACCTATCCATCCATGTACACAGTAATGTCTCCCTAACTGACGCTCAGATTGTGCACAAAAATGGACAATTTGGGAAGGGGAGATACGATTATTCGAGCCCTGCAGCTCGTTCTTATAGTTGTTGGCAATTCGAGACTATAAAAACGAACCGCATAATCGTATCTCCTCTTCCCAAATTGTCTATTTTCGTGGACAATCTGTGCGTCAATTAGAGAGACATTACTGCACAGGGTGTTCATCTTAACGGTCGCGCCGATTATTTAGGCATTCACACTAATCTGACAAAAAAATGTTTCGAACAAAAGTTAACGAATACTGTGCGAAGAACAAGGCACAGTAATAAAATTGTCTGCAAACTTTTTTATTCAATAAAAAGCTCAGGTCACTTTGACTCTTTCAAATGGCGTTATGTATTTTCCACGTTATAGCGTTATAGCTGACAAGAAAACGAATTCAACGACCTACTACACGAGGCAAGGCCAGCTAGATAGCCTTACCGATGAGTTTCCTAGCGGGACCAGAACGAAACGCGCTCTCTTTCTTTGCCTCCACTCCTCCACCTTTGCGGCACATCCAGCACAGAAAAGCTCGCGTGTTTCCGTCGACGTCGCGGAAACATTTCGCGCGTTAAGTATAAATCCGAATTCGGGATTCCGCGAATAACGATTCTGCCGGGTGATCCGTGAATTATTTACGTCCGCGCAGAGGCGGCTGTAATCCGACGGTGATCCAGAAATTTGTCGACCATTAAATAACGTATTCATATCACGCGTGCCTTCAGCCC